GCCTGGCACAGGCGCCGACCTGGCGGCCTACAAGACGTGCTCGCCAACGAATTCGACATGCATATCCTAACACTCCAACGATCATTGGAAGTTGGCCCACGTGCCGAACGATTCGGAGGGTGGTCAACGTGCATGGCGGTTACCTCTGGGAATCTCAAACCACTTAGATGACCTCGCGAAAACCTTAGATGCAGTGCGTGAAGCCCATGCCAAACAATGCCTATATAAAGGCACCAACCCCAATGGCATTAGGGGGGCAAGTAAGCATATTCTAGCTCTCATACTTTGTGATTTTTAGCTCGCTGTTTACTATGAGAGTACTAACTTAAGCATCGGAGCAACGTCGCCGGGTTAGCCACCCCGGGTCCTCTGACATTTGTTCCTCGCAGGTCCCTAAAGAGCAACGAAGCTCAACAATCAATCCAGGTTGCCACCAGGCAGTTCGGCACCTAACCTGCCCAACTCAGCCCTCTGGTCAGGTCGACACTCTGGTCAGTTCTGCACTTAATAAGCAGCTCGGCACTCTAGTCAGCTCGGCACCCTGGTCAGCTCGTCACCTAATATAAAGCTCGGACTAGTTCGGCACCTAACCTACCTAGCTCGGCTCAGTCAGCTCGACACCCAATCTGCCCCCAGTTCGACATCTAGATCCTCATCCAGCAAAAGTTCTCAACTTCGGCCTCTGAGTCATCAGCCACTTGAAAACAAACCAAATGACGAAATACTTAGCCAAAAAGTTAATACATTACCAAAAATTGATTCATCAGGTACCCCTGACATTATTTTTGTGCTTCCTCCCTCCTTTGGTAATGACATCTTAGTTAATATATATATATATATACCGTCCAATTAATATTCCGTGTTGGATGGTTGGAAAGGCTTTTTTGGCAACAATATCCCCATTCCCTACCGCATCTGACCTGGCCTTCTCATAAGACAATTTTTTATAAGGTATATATATGAGCCATTTACTTTTTGATCTATCAATCAAGTTAGAGGTAAAAACTCCAAATCTAATTATTTTCAAAAGGTACATTCCATCAAAAACGGTTGGGGCTCGTCCGAATTGACCAGACTCATATATATATATATGGACGTTAAGGTAAAGTAGGTAAAGCAAGATGTGTTTGGTGGGCCTGAATCCTAATAACCCTGCTGATTACAAATTTACAATTCCAAAAGTAAATTGAATGAAGTGGGTGCAAGTGAGAAATGGTGTAGGAATTGGGATCGAAGTAGAGAGGTATTTGTATTTCATTAATTAGACGTGTCATTCAAGTGGTTGGTCATCGCTATCAAGTTATCAATATCTCTATTTTATTTAGAATTCTTCACAAGAATGGCCCCGGCCGGCCGGCCCCAAAAATATTCTACTTCTCTACGTCTCTCCTCGCTCGCAGTACACAGTTCACACAACGGCTACAGTATGTCTGCTGTTATGAGAAAATATCAGAATGGAGCCCGGCCGATCGGTACAATCTCATCTCATACCAGTTCTGTCTCCAAGCTATGTTCAGACTCGGTGTACTTAATTCAATGATTGTGTGAAAAGACACCAATAGAGAGAGAATAGATCCTTAAAATCATTTATAACATCAACATGTTAATCTTCTTTCTTTTCTGTTAGAAGAAAAAAGAAGATGCAGCCAATCCATTGGTACCATACCTTTCTGGCATCCTACATTTACCTTATTCTTCTTTTCACGTTAATACAAAATTACAAATCTTGGGTAATAAATTATTCAAGAAACACACGACAAAATATGGCAATCCTCGATTACTACACTACGTAGTCACGCATAGAAGAAATGGTTGTACGCAGAGCTTATTTGATCAAGGCATTCCACCTCCAAATCCACCACCAGCTCCCCCACCAAAGCCACCTCCCGCTCCCCCGCCTAATCCGCCACCACCACCAGCTCCCCCACCAAAGCCACCTCCCGCTCCCCCGCCTAATCCGCCACCACCACCAGCTCCCCCACCAAAGCCACCTCCCGCTCCCCCGCCTAATCCGCCACCACCACCAGCTCCCCCACCAAAGCCACCTCCCGCTCCCCCGCCTAATCCGCCACCACCACCAGCTCCCCCACCAAAGCCACCTCCCGCTCCCCCGCCTAATCCGCCACCACCACCAGCTCCTCCACCAAAGCCACCTCCTGCTCCCCCACCGAGTCCACCACCAGCTCCGCCTCCCAAACCTCCTCCAGCTCCGCCTCCGCCTCCTAAGCCACCGCCACCTCCTAGGCCTGCACCCCCACCAAGACCAGCACCACCTCCCCCACCGAAACCACCACCACCGCCTCCGCCAAGCCCACCACCAAATCCTTTATGGAAGAGTGTCTTCTCATCTTGGAAGGTACTCTCCTTGCTTACAAGCTTCCTAGCATTAATGCTACAAACAAGAGCACCAAGGAACAAAAGGAGAAGCAGCTTGGTAGCCATTTTCCCTAGAATAGTACTGATGCAAGTAGCTCTTTCAGTAATAATGCTTCTGGGTGAGAAGTGGAGTGTCGAGGATGGGATTATATAGACATTCGAAACTTAATTACTGGAAGGGGACGGTTGAGAAGATTATAATTATACGCATCTTCTCAGCAGAAGCCCGTGTTGAGGATAGTTAATATACCCAGCTGTCACCTTCTAGAAATTAGAAGAGATCTGATCACCACTGCTTCGACTCACCTCATGTTAATTAATTGGTGATCTCAAGACAGAGAGAAGAATTTTTCAATCAGATTCACTAATTAAGGCGGAAGCTTTTTTGTTTTGCTTTCTCAGGGTTGTGACCATGTTCCTATGTCTGCCTCTCAATTCATCTTCTTCCTTCTTTCTTTCAACCTTTTGAATGTTTCGTTTTTTTCTCCAAACATATTAAAAAAGAAATTAAAGAAGATCTAGAAACCCTACGATACCACAGAAATGAACCACGAGGCGAAAATACTCGTAATGCAGTATACCGTAGTACTACGTACTATAATGTTTTCTTCTTTCACAAATTAATTATAGTGTTAAAATACTGATTTTAATTTTACAGGTTGCATAACAAACTTTCAGGTATCATGGAAATTTCACCGTACGTGAACCGCATAGTTTGGTAACTTGTACCCCTTACTATTACTCAATTTCTGACCAATGTGTTCTCCTAATTCCAGCTATGCTCTTTGGTACACATGGTGGTTGTAGGAAATTAAAAGATGCTGTTGTGGAGCCCGTAGCTGCTACTAGGCACTAGCCAGTAGGGGTGGCAAATGGATGGATTGGGTTGGGTTGGGTGTGGGTTGAGTACCAACCCACCCATATTCATCCACTGACCCATTTGCCATCCACTGACTCATATTGACCCACAACCCACTTTGACCCTGACTCACCCTAATCCACCCATTCGACCCTGTAACTCAAATTAGACCTTTTTTCTCTATTATAATTGCATAAAAACATAAAATTATATATTTCAATAAAAAACAAAAACAATATTTTTTTTCAAATAAAAAATAAAAAACATTAAAAGACAGAAGATGGTTAAAAATATACATTTTGTGTAAAACATCAACAATTGTAAAAAAAACTTAGGAAATAATAAAAAAAAAATTAAACAAAAGTATAAAGGAGAAATTGCGAAAAACATAAAAGAATGCACAAAACATAGAAAAATTGCAAGAAGTTTGAGGAAATTTCAGAAAAAAAACAAAAACAAATAAAGAAAAATGGAATTTGCATAAAAACAAGACAAAATATAGAAATTGTAGAAAATACATTGAATGATAAAAATTGCAGAAAACACCTAAAATTATAAGAAATTAAAACACACACACACACACACACATATATATATATATATTAAGAAATAGCATAAAATACATAAAAATGGTAAAAAAATTCAAAGAAAATTATATATTTCAGCTAATGCTAAACGATACAGAAAATGATAAAAATTTAATATATATATATATATATATATATATATATCCAAGAAAGTAAAAATCATAGAAAATACATTGAATGATAAAAAAATGCATAAAACAAACCATAAGATAAAAAAATTCCAAAAATATATATTTCAACCAAAAATACGAAAATGGAAAAATCTGGGAAAAATGATTAAATGCAGAAATTAATTGAACATTGTAGAAAATTATAGAAAATGCAAATTGTAAAAATTTACAAAAAAAAAATGCAAAAATACAGAAAGTTTTGCTAAAGAATGTAGAAAATGCAAAATTGGGAGGTTGCTTTTTGAACGTGTGAGGTGAAAACTCATTGCTGTAAGACATAATGTAGAAAATTTTGGAGCTTGAATCGTTGATCTCACACATAATAAATTTGTAGTTCATTACCAATGTATAAAAATACAAGATTAAGGTTTAGTTGATCCTATGATTCATAGGATGTCTCATGGTGTTGGCTCCACCATTAAACCGGGAACATCGACATTTACACAGAAAAGAAAGATTGGAAATCCAAGGAATTTTATCCAAAAGAGAAGACTTGTAAGATAATAACTAGATAAGAATCCAAATCCCATCATTCATATCGTGGTTCTTGTCATTAATTTCTTTCAGAGAAGTGAAACTTGGGAAGAAGATGAAGAGGATCTTTTTGCTTTTTTGGTTCTTATCCAACTTGAAGAACCAAGCGTCCAACGACACAATGGCAATGACCACGCTATAATTGTGGATCTGGAAATTGTGAGGCAGAGGATTATGTTCGGTTATCGGAGAAGGGCTGGAGATGGAGAGATGGAGGCAGAGAGAGTGAGGCAAAGGGCTATGTTCGGTTTTCTGATTTTCAAACCCTAAGGCCTAAACAAGAAGCGGGGTAACCCATGGTTAGCCATGACCCACCCTGACCCAACCCTTTTTCACTTGACTCTAATGGGTCATTGACCCATCTTGATCCACTACTCAAATGGTGGGTATGGGATGGGTGTAAAGTGGGTGGGTTGGATGGGTTAAATGGGTTAGGGTCAAAATTGCCAGTCTTACTAGCCAGGGTATAGGGTTAGCCTCTGTTGACCCTCCGGCTTCGGTTCAGGTGGGTGTAGAGTCAGGGGTGCCTGGCTGGGTGGGGAACTGCCCTGCCCTTACTCGAATAGATAGAAGTTGATGAAGGGTGATTTGGCGTGACCTAGAGAGAAGGGAACACGTGGACACGACCTGACTAAGAGATGGCAGCTCAGCCCGGTAAGCCTAGTTCACAATAATTGAGCTCGGGTATTCAATCACCTCGGCACAAGGTCACCTTGGTGCAGAGTCACCTCGGCACCGAGGCACCTCGACACTCAATCCAGTTCAGAACTAAAAGACTGAAGTATCAGCTCAGGGCTACCGACCCGGACCGTCACGTAACGATCCCGGAAGTCTCTCCAACAGACTCCGAACCTCACGGGGTCACGTCACATAACGGCAAGCCTATCTTCTCCCCGCCCGGACCGGGTGGAATTGATAATCTTTATTAATTGATAACGTTACTCCCCAATTGAAGCGAAAACGGATCCCATCAGGACGAAGATCCCAAAACCGATCCGCAAAACCCGCGAGGGCTTAGCTATATAAAGGTGCCAACCCCAATGACAAGGTACGCATGATTTTTCTACTCTCTAGCTCTCTAGCTCTCTACCTCTCAAAGCTTTTCAGCTCGCATCATAGTTTACTAACTTAAGCATCGGAGCGACCTCGCTGGGTTAGCCACCCTGGGTTCTCTGATTCGTTGTCTTGCAGATTCACCTAGCTCGCTACCCGACTAGAAGCCAGATCATCCTCCAGTAGGGAGTAGTCAGATCGCGCCACATCAATTGGCGTCGCCTGTGGGAAATCGATCGAAAAGTCATCTTCTTTATAGTCATCAACCTTCTAAATCAATGGCATCTTCCAATCACGCCGGACAAAGCAGCGAGATGAACGTCTCTGGGGGACAACCCCAACTCCCTTCAATGTGCATCTGCTAGTTTACCATCTCGCTTACTGCGGTTGGGATTCCAATGCTGACCATGCCACCAAACACCACACAGGTGAATGCCCCACTTCCCCCAGTGGTAGGTGCAACCTTTTCTAAGCCTTCTGTGGTTCCCCCCGGAGTTGGACAGTTCCAGTTTGACGACCTGGTGCAGTGTGTGCGGGCCATCCAGGTCCAAATGTAACAGGTTCAACAATTCCAGCATTACCTATTCTACCAGTAGTACCAGTAGTAGTTCCCCCCACTGTCGCAGAGCCAGCAGCCGGTTCCACCTCAGCACCCAAGGCCCCAGTAGAATCAAAACCGACCTTGCGTGAACCAAGACATCATTCGATCTCCCCACCGAGGCGAAGAGACTTCCCAAGTCCAGTTCCTCCCAGGAGTGAGGTCTCACCCCGCGGGAGGAGAGACGGTCATATCACACCACCTGCTTCGCAAGGAAACCTCAGAAACAGGTCCGAGGATACTCAGCCTAATAGGGCCAACCTTCCTCGGCGTATGCAGCAAGACATGTCGCTTGCAGGTAACCAGTTCGGGGTTCTGGGTGCAAACTCAAGGCAGGGAGACTCCATCCATGATAGCCAGCCCTAGAATCCCACAAGCAACTAGGAGCTATCTCGCGGCAGAACAGTACCAGAGCATACTGAGATTAGTAGCACCAATATCGAGCCTATAAAGAAGCAGCAACGGAGGCATCGCAAGACACGCCGTACTTCAGCTCAGAATAGCCAGCCAGCGAGACCGAAACAACAACAAGAACATGCTAAAGGTAATGAGGAGGTGAGCTTGGTAGATACAAAGGCCACTCCTCCCCTACTTTCCAGGTCATCTCCCCTGTCTCCCGAGCTCTTGGTGACCCCGATGCCTAAAGATTTCAAGATGCCTCCCCTGGACAAGTATGATGGGTCTTTTGATCGTAATGATCATGTGGACTCCTTCCAGTCCCAGATGCACCTAGTTGGGCCTGACGAGTCTTGTATGCGCGTGGCTTTCTCCACCACTTTCAAAGGGGTAGTTCAGACCTGGTACCGGAACCTCACGCCGAGATCGATTAAGAGCTGGGCACATTTCGCAGATTTGTTTACCTCGCACTTCATCACTAGCAAGAAGTACCCGAGGTCGCAGGAGAGCCTCCTCAACGTGATTTAGAAAGAAAGAGAGTTGATTAGAAGCTACATCAAATGCTTCAATGACACCTGTCTGCAGATCCCCGACTTAGACCCGGCAGTAAGACTCACGACAGCCAAGAAAGGAATAACTCACAGAGAGTTCAAATGGCATGTAGTGGCCAATAAACCAAAAGACATCACAGAATTCCTCAAGCTAGTCGACCAATTCATCGGAACCGAAGAGGAAATGAACCAGAAGACTGACAACCCAGCAGAATAAAGAAAAAGAGACAGTGACAACACAGGTAATGATGGACACAAAAGAAGAAAGAGCAAGTCCCCAAGTAGGGGAGGAAACAAGTCTGGGAGCCGATCTCCTTCGCGATCTCGCAAATCAGGTCAGCGCTCTATGACCCCACCTGTTGAAAGGACGAACTACACACCTCTTAACGCTAAGTGAGAAAAAATCCTAATGGCCATCAATGACTCCTCATTTGTTAAGTGGCCTCCTAGGTTGAGGGGAGATCCTGCAACAAGAAACCGAAACGTCTACTGTCATTTTCACAAAGACCACAGGATTAGTACAGAGAACTGCAGAATCCTTTGCGATGAGATAAAGGAGCTCATCCGCCACGGGTAGTTGAAAAACTTTGTACAGCGAGAAGAAAGAAGCCAGGCAAATCGGCAAGCAGACCGGCAGGGGGACCAGAGAAGAATACCCCC